GTGCACCGTCACGGCGCGCCGCGGCGGCGGGTGGCGGAAACGGCGACCCGCGCGCCCTGCCCCAAAGCAGGAAAACGCCGACGCATCCCGGCAGCCACGACCTTTCCTTTCCTTCCTTTCCTGCGCGCCCGAAGCCGCAGCGCCGCTCGGCTCGCTGACCGACAGGTGTCCTCTGCCTGGCGCAGGCGGAGGAGGAGGGGCACACGCTACATTAGGAGCAGGAGGGGGGGGAGAGGAACTGACGAAAACATCCGGTGCAAGACTTTACTGTGTGAGACTTCGCGCAATTAGTATAATATAAAACTTACATGCTTCACTATTGTGAAAGCCCCACTTAAAACGAAGCGAGGCGGTTATAGCGTACACCAAATCAGAGCCGTGGTTCGAGATTCTTCCTGGGCGAACAAGATTCCGTTTCGTTGAGAGTGTCGAACCCGCACGATTGTGGCGTGGTACACAAATGTCTATGGCATTTCGACAGGATGTTTTTTTCTTTGTTTCTCCCCCCCCTCCTCCTCTTCTCGATTGATTAGCGACTTCGCGGTGCCAACTACTAACGTCTTTATTTCCGTAAGACTTGTGCACGTTTTACCGTGTGCGGCGGCGACGGCGATTTCTCCTATTGGATGACAAGATCCGGCGCAGACCTACGTCGACTTGCGGCGATTTTCTCCAACCGGGGATCTCTCATCAGCGGGGCACCGCCCCAGTCCGGACAATCTCTTAGCTCCCGCCTGGTCTCCCGGCGTGTGTGGTAGTGTAGTAAATGTGAATGCGTGTTTGAGTAAGCGCTGAGGAAAGGACAAGGAGGGAAAGATCGCGCTCAGTCAATGGCCTATTTGTTAAGACACTGCTCCGGCATTCGCCTGGTGTCCATCGAGAAACCGTGGGAAAACACCGATCAAAGCAGCCGTTCGCTAGAATTCTCCCGACAGCGGTTAAATTCGCAATAGCCTACAAGCTGGAGTATAAAACCCTACCATTGTCGAACTCAAACCCTAGGATCTCCCGTTCAAAGGCAATGCGGTGACGTCAGTTCAAGAGGACTAAATGGAGAGCGTTCTTGCATCAGTTGATGCCCTGAGCCACCTTTGACGGTGACAGTTTTTTCGACATGCCCATAAAAAAAAGGGGGCCATGTCTTATGACCATTGTAGTTTTTAAAGCTCAACACATCCGACAATCCAAAATTGCGTTCCATGAGAAGTAATTCTGAGACTGAAAATGCCGTGACGTGGTGCTACCGTTATATTGTGGCCTGAATTCGAAAATAAACACCAAAATCACGTGAAAACGTACCCTTTTTCGAAAATTGCAAAAAAACTTAACTGAAGTATCGAAGAATGATATTTTTCTTAATAAAACGTTCTAAAAAAGTTTAAAAATTATGTGAAAACTTATTCGTCCTTTCAAAAGGTTGTTCATAAACATATTTAGAAAATAAATTTTTTAGAACATTTTATTAAGAAAAATATTCTTCGATATTTGTTATGTTTTTTGCAATTTTCGAAAAATTCTGAGTTAACCGAAAATGAAACCCATGCACTTTTTATAACTATACTTTCCTCTATTCGAGGAAAGATTTGAAAAGGTCCTGAAAAATTAAAAAAAATGTATATTTTGAGAACCATTACGCATAACCATATAATATTTTAGAAACATTATATATGACATTTTAAGAGCCGTCTTTGAAGAACAGATTTCTAAACAAAAAATTTCTACATTCAATAGTAAAGCTTTAAGAAGACACGGAACAAATTTTGAACTTTTGCAATGTTGAAAAATTCAGAGAGCTCAACGAAAATGCGACCCTAAAGCGTTCTTTTCTGTATCCGAGGAAAAATAATTTAAACTTTTGCAGCCAGTTTTTGAAAAACTTCTGCAAATGTTAAGACTTCACGTTAAGTATCGCAAAAATCAAAACAGTATTAGTTTCGAATCGCAGGCCTCAAGTTTTGCCAGATCGATGATTTAAAAGGTGGGGGAAGAGATTCTGGAGCTCAAGAAAACTTGGGCAGATGATTCTTCTCCCCCATATATCACAGAGTTTTGACTAAAATTCAATCAAATTTCAATTTCGTAGAAAATCGTTTTAAACTGTTCAGGCTCTAATTTAACGGACAGTTATGTAGCCATTCAATTTTTGGATATGGAGAGCCCACTAAACGTGGGTTCTGAGTACAGGACGTGTTAGAGGAAGTAATTAACCTTGCTTTAACCTACAAGCGTATTTAAAATTAATATTATTTTCGCAGATTGTATCATTTCCTTTGTAAAGTTTTTTTTTTACTTTCTACTTTGGTAAGGTTTTTTTTACATATTTCTGGCGCGAAGTAACGTGTTGTAATGCAATGGCAAAAAATTGTGGATAAATCGTGTTCCTGCGCGTATCAGGATCTCCTAGAGCAATATTGATTTTTTTGAGAATCGGAATGTGGTTGGAAAGCTTAATTTGCATTTTTTACTCTTAAAAGAAACATAATTCATCAGTGATATATGAACAGATTGGCATAACCATTTAGTAAAAAGTAATAATAAAATTAATCTGACGAAATATCAGCGAATAATGGACACAAACATGCCAAAAAGAAATGTCCTCTAGAAAGAAACTGAAGCGAGAAAAGTTTAAGATGCCTCTACTCGTGGTTTACAGTCCATCCACAATTCAGTTTTCGCCAAACCTAGCCAATCCAATTAATTGGATTTTGCCAATTTAATAAAAAATTGCCTTTGCAAAATTAAGGACGACCCGCTACTCAAATACGATAGCTACAAACTGTACTCGCAGATCGTTTGAAAACTATTCATATTTTACCATGACAAGAATGTAGCCAACTGCTCAAATCAATGCATTATGAATTCGTTCTATTGCACAGATAGCACCAGAAACTACGTTACGTAAGTGCATTCCCAGCTTGCTGACATAAAACTAAACGATAACGTAGGCTCTCCCCCTTTATCCACATCAAAGTGGGGCGTGGTACACGGACTTATCCCTCACGGATTCCATTTTTTTAAAAGTAACTTCTACAAAAGTAAACGTCAACTTCACCTCAACAATGCCATGAAAGAAGTTGCAAAATTACGAGACTAAGTCTTCCTGAAAAAATTAGTTTTACACATGCTGTTATACAGGCATTAAGTTTAAGATTGTATATTATATAATTTAACAGCAGCTTGGTTTCAAAATAAAAAATCTTAATTTATAAAGGGAGCACTCCTCAATTTCCTATAATGACATTTTTCTGAATATCTGGGTAAAATATAAATACTCTGAACTTAATTTCCTTCACATGGAGTTCAATTCTGAACGTACTCGCAATTTTAATAAAGACCAAAGTACCAACAAAGACTGACAAATCAAACTTTCTCTTCTTTTTTTTATCTACTTGATAGAAATATTTAATACTACCATGTGACTAAGTATTGGGCACATATATTTGGTTTATTAAACTGTTTATTAAATTGACATTCCTCCATTCATAGATTTTGAATGCAATGGGCCACATGGAGAGAATTATCAACAGCATTGTTATTCAGAACAAACTGACAGTTGCTCTTTGCAATGCATGAACATTCACTTTGTATCCATTGTTCACACATTTTCCCTCTACATCTACCAAGAAATGCATGTACCAAATCCACACTTCACTACTACCTGAAAATATGATGTGCCGGTTACAAGAATTTGTAGGCTTGCTTAGTAGTAGAATAATATAACAGATTTAAGATTTAATTTGAAATGTGTGTAAGAAATTTTCAATCCCAAAATAACATCACTTATATAAAGCAGAATAATAAAAAATTAAGCATTAAAAAATTCTTACTGGAATGAGTCATTTACAATTTTCTAAAAACGATTACTAATTTAGAAGCCTTGAAAAAAGAACAATCTAATAGGTGCAACTATTTCCATCAAAAGAAAGACTGGAAGCACACAACTTCTAACAATTGTTTTAAATGATTGTCCATACTAAGTAACATTGAAAATAAATATCCTTTCTTGGCATTAGGAACAATCAAAATTCATCTGTTAATGTAATTAGCAATTGAATTCTAAATTACACCTGTTTCAAAAGCTGTTTTGCGTTGGTCATCAGGTGATCTGCAAGGTTTTTATTTTTAATTTTTTTTATTTTTTCTAACACTCTGTTTTGAATTGACTTTTGCAAGGAAGAAGAATAATTTATTTATGGATAATTAATACAAATAATCTTGAATTTCGTTCCAATAAAATTAAATAGCAAAGTGCTTTTGGCCGTATTTATAGATATAAAAATTACTAAATTAAAATTTTCGGTAGAAGTTAATTTTATTATTTAAAAATAAAAAAGTCTCGCGCATTTCCGGAAAATTAGACAAAACTGGTTCTTCCCTGGCAAGTGATAAAGAATTGAACACTTGCAACAATAGTTTCAATTAACATCGGCAAATGATTTTGTTGTCGGCTTGGTTTAAATATAAACCATTTAACAAAGCAATACTATCCCGTGTCATTAAGATCGCTTCGGAGCAAATGAACTGGCCAACAGGTTCAAGGTCAATGTGGTTAGAGATGCCCAGAAGTTCATTTTGGTCATCGCGTTCTTAATTTGAACAGAAGAGGAAAATAATATTACTTTAATAAATGAAAACATATTTCAAACTGCTAAAATGAGGGGGCATGGAGAAATGCCAGCAAATATCTTATCAAATTATCACTCTTAAATAGAAATCTTCAATTACTAACTAATGTTAACGTCGCAAATGTCATTTAAAAATCTAAAACAAAACTAACTAATTCGTCAATTCCACATCACAAAAATAACAGAAGGACAAATAGGTAATGCGATACCAGAAATAACATCAGTACACAAAAACCGCCTTTAACCTTTCCACCGGCACTTCGCCCAAATACTACAAAACAATGTGATTAGCTCACACTGAAGAATATCACACACTACATTAAAACATTTTAACAAATTGATTCAATACACCGTTATTTAAAGCTGTCAACTCACCAGATCAAAACGCAAATACGATGCCGCACCACGCTCTGCAGTAATACGCCCACCAACACTGAACCACGACGAATCGACTGGCGCAGTGAGGAACTTGGCGCAATGCCCACGGAAGGCGGTCGGTACTGAATATCAAAGAGTAACGTTTGTCTGTCATGCGAATGGTGTCCATACGGTTGTTGCCTCCTGCGCTCCCTGGTAGTGGTGTTCATAATCACATAGAAGCGGGACATTCAAATAATGCTAGCATTTAAAGCTAAACGCGAATAAAATACCCGCGTCAGATGTTCGATGTGGTGTGATCGAGCGTGTACCGTATAATAAGCTTCCTTCGATATAAACCTTAAGAATGTAATGTTAAATAATGTACAGTTTTTTGACAAATACTTTTTAAAAAGTAATAGGTACAATATAATATATCTATGATGAAAAATTAAAATACATAAATGTTTAGCTTTTCAAATGCGCAAGTTGGTTAATTCTAATAAAGTTAAACAAAATGCTGAAACAGAGAATGTTGAAGTATGAGTTATAACATTACGTGACGCCTTTTGGAGTTTGTCCTATGTCATGTGTTTCATTCACGCCACTCTTCCTGTACCTCTGGACATTGTACTTCTCGTATGAGTTTAAATCTGGATATTTTTATTTGAAGCAATATTAACTAAAAATAGACACGATGTTCTTAGAACTTTGAAATACACTTTGATTTGCATTCAATAGAATACTCGTGTACGAGTTTGTTTCATAACTCTTGATACGTTTGTTGTTACTTTGCTGTTTTCTCACATAAAAAGCCATTTATACCCGTTTTTATAATTAGTATTTTTTACAATAAGTGCAATAAATTAAACTGATCATTATCACGATAATGCTTTTTTTGGTCTCAGTGAAAACAAAAATAAAACGTTTCGTTATGTTAATAACGTTATGTTAATAATACAATATTCCGAATAATTATATTAATAATACAATATTCCTGTAGCCAAAAGTTCTGTTACAGGTATTCATCCCTTGGCTTTGTAATAAGAAGTATAAAAATGTATTTTCTACTACTACGTGTGTAACATAGTGAAGGGAAAACAATGGCCTGGTACCCAGACGTTGGGTAGAACCTTAAAAAAAGGTACGGAAATACGCGTACAATCGTATTTCTTGTGCATAAAGGAAGACATGTAGTATGAAATGTTAAGTAAGAAATGTAGATTCAGTAGTTGGCCCAGGTATGGTGGCGTGATGGAAGGAATTGCAAGAAAAACAACAAAGTACTACATTTATAGCAAAATAAAACGTTCATTATATTTGTATTAATGTTTAATAATTCTTTTATAAAATTATACAATATATTTTATTTTCATTATTCTTGACCTCTTGTCGAAAAAATCATAATCAGTGTTCGTACAAGTCGGCAATGCGATGGGTGGAAGATCAGTTGTTGAGAGAAGAAATGTGCCAAAATATTTTTGGCTTCGGACCATGGCTAATAAAATCAGAAGAGCAGTCCGTCATGCATACCCTGGAAATATTACCATATTCACTTGGAAGACTACATCAATTCAAAAATGAAGAGGTAATTTCAATAATTAAGATAAATGATACCAATTACAAATAGCCCCATTTGAGGGATACAAGGTCATGCAGACATTAATACAAAAGACGTCGTGGATGTGAATTGCTGAAATGTATTATCAACTTTATCCTCTGAAGGGCAGAGGTATATCAGAGCTGGGATGAGTGTTTAACGTTTAAGGAACTATTAAGTAATGTATAATGAGTATAAATGAATGTATTTATAATAACAAAAATAGCAATTAGTGTAAGTATTCTAAAAAATAAAGAGTACAATACAAAAGTGGAGTTAGGCAAACGACAATTAAGGAATTAGAAACACAAAGTATTTTGAAATTGGTACGCTGGAATCGTATAGCAAGTTAAGCACTCTTATCTAAGCTAGTGGCAGACAAATATCAACTTCTCTTATTTTCATTGTACACTCACTCTATGCTATTTCTGTATCGTCCGTAAAGATTTTACCAGATTAGTCCTGTAAAAATGCGCAGATGTGACGCGCAAAATTGCTCAGAACACGGTTAAATGCTAGTCTTCACTATCGATTTCTGGAGATCAATTAGTATGACTTCCCAGACCTACATTTCAAATATAAAATGAGTAGTATGTACACCAGTAAAAAGAACGTATATTGTGTGTATTCGCTTTATTATGTGTCAGAAATGGTTACTAAGAGGTAAGTTTACAAACAATGTTACATAAGCATTTCGAAAGAAATGTAAATGGTTTTGGACTTTGTCCCTTAATAAACGAGTGAGAGTAGAACCTTGGTTTCGTAAACACTTCCAAAAATCATCACGTTTCTGCCTCTTGATAAAAAAATTATCACCTGATTTTTCACCATCTCCAATGAATGGTAAACACGTTCATTTTTATCTTCTTTAAGATATGACATCAGTCAAAAGATTATTTCATCAGCGAAGCGTCTCTTTGATGGAAAATTAAATCGAAAAAATATAGGAAAGAAAAATGAAATACGCTACGTGAAGAAAATAATAAACGTTTAGCACGATATTGAAAACAGAAAATGGAAGCGATGAGTATGGGCTGACGGACTCTGCGATGAAATTAAAGTCATGGGTTGCGGCAGCAATCGGAATCAAAAGCGGTTCTTTTGGCTTTAGAAACGCAACATGACCATCGGTGGCAAAGGTAGGGAAGGAGAGGTCAACTAAGAAGAGAGGAGCTACTTAAGGCCATTAAAATATGATTAACAGTACCTTGCCTTCAACTAGTTAGCACCACCTTCATATTCCCCCTTCTAAGCGTACGACAAGAATTTTATGGGTTTCAGGTCGTTAGGTCCACAGACAGAAGGTCTAATTCTTTGTACGTCCAATACAATAGGCGGGCTATATTATAATAAGTTTAAAGTGACAGAAGATCCTATGGCTCAAGAGGTCTAAAATTAGAAGGACAGTTGAACAGATCATGTGTACATGGAAGGTCTAATAGGTATACACCTAAGGTCTAACAGGTACACAAAGGAGGCGTAATAACAAAAGAGGTTCAATTCCAAGTTCCAGATAATGATCGTTCCTCAACATGCGTCAAGTGGAAAAAATTAGAACAGTTAAAAAGGGATCTTCAGAATAACGAAGTTCTCGTCCCACAGTTATTGGCAAGCCATGCACGAGTTAATTACTTAATTTCTAATCCAACCAAATTACATGGAGGCTTCCACGGCTCCAGTCCATTACTTCTAGGCTGTCCGGGTGACGCCGCGTCGTTGGCAGATAGGCCGACGTTTCGCCTGTCATGTCGCAGGCTTCTTCAGGGTAGTGACGAAAATTTGATCTTATTAAAAATTTCTAATTCAATTTGGTTCAATTGACAAAAATGTCTAAAAAATATGTCCCAACTGACACGAATGCCTCACTACCCTGAAGAAGCCTGCGACATGACAGGCGAAACGTCGGCCTATCTGCCAACGACGCGGCGTCACCCGGACAGCCTAGAAGTAAATTACAAGGAGTCAAATCAAAAAAGAGCAAACAGCAGTCTTTGAGCTACGGATTAAGATTCCTAGCTCCACTAATAAGTAAAAGTGAAGACTGAATATTTCAATACTATTTCTTATTATAAACGTTATGTACTTTATGAATTAAAATTTACCACTTCATGTGGTGTGGTCGACATTATGTTATATATTTCTATTAGACTAAAATGTATTAGGCATACGTGTCAGTTGGGACATATTTTTTAGACATTTTTGACAATTGAACCTAATTGAATTAGAAATTTATAATAAGATCACATTTTTATTAGATATGTTTTAGTTGACTGAAGAGATAGTCTTCAAAATATACCTTCTGTCAATGAACCTAATAGCCTTTTTCCGTTAGATCTAACCGTTTTATGCGCGTATGGTGGGAGGGTATCAAGAGCGCTCCCAAACGCCATAAGATTGATCTAAACCACTGACATAAATAGCCGTAAACACACGAAATAACGTGAGCGCTTTGATAATCCTGACAATAGGCACACATAACTTTTCAGTTTGTTGCTTCATTGAAATGATTACTTTATTTGGAATGTTTAAAAAAATTAAAGTTGATGATCCTTACACTTGAACACGTAAATTTAATATAATACATTCGAAAAGTTATATAAAAATGGATCTGAAATTTAATATGCCGTGGAAAAGCTCGAGCTTGGCGTATTGGGAGGCGCCTAAATTATCGTATAGAAAGAGCAGAACAATCCCAGCACTTACAAGACGAAGTTTTTCGAGATTATTAATAGAGGACTTGAGATTCTCAAGCTAGGAATTCACACCACGACCTCTTCTACCAAATTAATTTCGAAAGTGACATTTATTCAGGCGCAGATTAATCCAGGGCTTCTCAAGCGGGCGACTGACTTGGCGCGCTCTGGCCCAGCGCTTATCTTTGGGGAACCGATGTGGACCACTGCGGCTCGAGTCAGCCCGTCGGAAAGGTGTGGATAGGAGACGCTCGGGCGCTCGGCTCCAGTCTAGTGAAAGGCGAGAGTCAAGTGTACAACTGCAGTGGGCCGCCTCAGGGAGGTAGACAGATCCGAATTCATAGTCCCATTTGAGCAGTTATGGATTAATGCTACGCTAAGCACGTGCTTGGGGTCCCGCTGGAAAGGGGCCCCGAGTATATTCGTATTTTAAACATTTTATTTTGGTATGTAATTATTTCAAATACCCCAACATTATGTTTTTTGATTGAAAAATGTAGTGCTTATTTTCTTCGTTGATTTTCATTTCTTATTGTCGGTGCACAAGAGATGTGTCACATCTAAAAAAAATCGTTAATTTTGATTTCAGGGACTAGATACGTTAAGAATGAAGTCTAGTTCTGGTAGTAAAACCTGAATAAAAATTGTTCACAAAACAGTCGGCATAGAAAACAAAACACCTGGGCTACGGTCACAGTGCAACCGAAATATCGGTCGTTCGCAATCGGACGACCTGCCAGCGAAATCGTCCGACTTATTTCTTCCGAAGAAACACCGAAATGTTGCACTCGAAATCATCCGAGTATTTCCCTAATTCCGCAGTTTATATTTTTAAACCTTTTCAAGAATTCTCAAGACCATTTACATGTACTGCAGATAACCTTGATTCTCCAGCTGAACCGACAGAATGAAACGAAACCGATCTTTGTCCGATACCCAATGTTTCGGGTTCAATATGACCATATCCATTTACTAGCACGAGTTTGAACGTATAGGATACAAACGGACGAAAACATCGGTCTTCGACCGACCGAAATTTCGGTCAAAATCGTTTCCACCGTGACCG